ACAGTGAGCTGGTGTCTGGTGGGCTCAAGGTGAAGGTTTCCAAGTAGTTTGAGTCTCAGTGTAAAAGCAAAGAGAAAAAGTCAGCACACTGAAGTCCCAACTCTCTCTGGCCCTTAAGCAAGGCCGTTCCCATCTCTGTTTTATCATCTTTAAAATAGACTTAATCATAAAGGCCCTGTTTACATTCTGACATTGTTGTGCTGCCTACGTAAAATAAAAGCTCTAAAATGAATGTCCCATGTGCTGTACATAACTCTCAGTTTCCATCTAAAGTAAGGATTTACTAAGGGCTTATGCTGGCCTATTACCTAGCACTGTGCTGAAGACACGTATGATCCACTCCAGTCCTCCAGGACAAGGTAAGGCTGGCCTTAGCCTTATAATAAACTTAATGTTTATGAAAACTTTATAGAGCTGGCACTATTTCTAGCATGTTGCAGATTAACTCATTTAATAGTTATAACATGCTACTAGGACAGGTATTATTTTATTTATTACAGATGAGGAGCTGAGGCTCCGAGAGGGGAGGTGATTTTTTCAAGGTCACACAGCTAATAAATGACAGAGGTACAGTTCAAGCCCAGGCAGACACCTCTTTTCTAATGCCAAGCTGTTTGCTCCTTAGATAAGCTTCTTCCCTTTTCTGAGTCTCTTTGGTTTCCCTTTCTCAAGAGGAGTGTGTGGTTTTCCTTCCATCTTCCTTGGATTCTGGAAGCCTCACGGGGCATGGAAGACAAGAAAAGGAATTTTAACAACAGAGGTTGGGTAAGGCCATGAGGCTCTACTTTAATTTTAAAAACACAATCTATTTTCAGGTGTCAAATAATTAATACAAGGAGGGATAAAAATATGGTGTATGCTTACATTTTTAAAAATTTATTGTAGTAAAAGACACATTACCACTAATTCTCAAAATACTACCCACTGCTTCAACACATTTATCATTCTTGCTACTTTCTGAAGCAGTTCTAGAAGTAGTTTTTTTGTGCCTGTCTTTATTTGCATGGTTGAGGCTGCCTTGATGTCCTGAATTGATTCAAAATGTTTAACTTCTGTAGTCACTTTGAGTTCGAGGCAGAGTCAGAAGTCATACAGTGTCAGATCCAGTAAGCAGAGTGGCTAACACCACCTTATAATGTTTCATGAGCCTGCTTTTCCATTGGGTGGCGCTCTGTGGTAGTACTCACCATATTTTTGATCACACCTCACAGACGCACTCATGAAAGAAAACTTCCAGAACTGCTTCAGAAAGTAGCAAAAACAAGAAGAGTGCTCAAAGCAAAACGATCTTTTGTAAAAAATTAATGACAATGTGTCTTTTACTGTAATAATTGTTTTGTATTTAAACGTGTGTTTTGATCACCCTTTGTATATTTATATGAAGCTTCCTTCCTTGTGTGCAGACTCGCAAAGTTCCTCCTCAATTCCAGTTCATATAAAAATCGCCTTCTCATCTGGCCTCTTTTATTTTATTTTTGATTAATTTTACATTTATGTTTTTAATTGGACTGAAATTTATTTGAGCAAAGAGAGTGAGGTGAAGCTCTGACCTTATATTTTCTAAATAGTTAATCAATTTCCTCCCCACAATTTCATTAAATCATTATTAATTTCCCGACTTATTGGAAATACCTCCTTTATCAAACAGATGAATATGTAAATTTGACTTTGTTTTATACTTTCTTTTAATACACCCAAGCCAGCCTGCTCGTGTTCAATACCACAATTGCTGTTGCTGGTTGGTTAAATCAATACCTAATGCACACACATTAATAATATTCCAAATGAAAGCCTTGGATGTGAGGTCAAAGACAACATGGACCTATTAGCATTAGGACTCTGAGTGCCTGGGCAGCTCTCCATCAGACAGGAGTGATTGTCTAGCAGGGCTCTGATTGCAAACACCATGTTTGCCAGTGAGTTACTTGACTTACTCTCCAAATGGTTGGTGGGACTTCCTGACAACCATCACAGGGAAATTTGTAAAAGACAAGAACAAGTTGGTCAGGTGGAGGTTCCATTTTTCATAGAACTCTAGGAAAGTGAAGTTCCATTTTTCTTAGAACAGTTGAGAGGCACTTAGAGATCATTGTCCATGCTTATTCAGTGTCAGTTCATGGTACAAATTTGAGCCAACCCAGCCCTTCGGATGGCAGGAAAAGCCATAGGGTTCCAGGGTAACATCCAGTGACAAATACTTAGCTCTTTGCCTCAAACTCAGTGCAAATACACCGCACTGTACTCAGTGGAGATCACTGGAATCCCTACAAGATGTGCAGCCAGAAGCAGCACTGAGTGAAGGGTCACAATTTACTTTCTTAACAGCCTCAGACAAACCACTGATCCCTATGAATCTCTGTGCTTTCTTTTGCAAAATAGAAGTATAATAATTTCTACCCATCTTCCACACTATGAAGATCAAGCAAGGTGATAAACGTGAAAATACAGTACTTAGAAGCCTTTAAAAATTTAAATGATAGTTGTGAGTACTGCGATTGGACCATGATTCTTTGCATGGAAGAACTGTTGAAACCAGGGTTTTTTTTTTCCCTCCTTAACTATTTGGAGAAAAGTCTGATTGTTTAATAGCCTTTAAAAGTTTAAGTGAGAGATACAGAATCCTCTGAATACTAAGAACGAGGACTGTGTCTGCGCTGGAAGCTGCATAGTTAGCTTTGGGGAGTAGTTGATATTCTGCTGATGAGAGAAGGCAGTGGAGATGCTATATTTTGTAGAAACACCTGCTCTCTCTTTTCACAAATAAATGTTACACAGGTAAATTCTCAGATGTAGGTACATGGACATGCAATGCCTACTGAGGAGCTGGTTCTTGCACTCCTATGGAAGCCCATGCAGATATTGGGTAACTTTTTGACACACCAAGATTTGTGGTTATGGAATTTCATAATAAACTCCTCAAAATAATCTTTTCTTCTCATTATCTTGACTGCTAGTCCTTCCATTCTCCTTTGAATGCATTCCAATCGAAAATTGGATTGCCCAATTCCTTGCCACTGATGAAGCTCTTGTCAAGGTCACTGTTGGCCTCTATGCTGTTAAATCCCGTGATCAACTCACACACTTCATCTCTCTCAACCTCACAACAAGATTTGGCATAGCTAATCATCCTTTCCTTCAGGAAGTGCTTTTTCTTGGCTTCTAGGACATCACAGTCTCCTGGGTGTCATCCCATATCCACTGTTATTCTCTCTGAATTGGAAACGTCCCATATATCCCCAACCTGGGAATTTTTAAAGCAGCCCTGGGCTCAGTTCTCCAAACTTCCTTTTCCTCCTCTCTATTTTTCCCCATTTTCCTTTAATTTCCTGCCTTCTGTGGTTAAATTCATGCCTTTGATTATTTTTTCCTCTTCCTACTAATCTGGTTCCATAGCTTTAAATACTATCTTAAAATATAGCTCCAGATGAGAGACTTCTCCCTTGAACTTCAGGCTAACTATCTCTTGCATACTCAGTATCTGCAGTTGAGGGGCTACCTGACATCTCAAATTTACCACATTGCGCACCAGATTCCTACCAACCTGGTGCATGCTAGCAATATTTCTTAATCATGCTCCTGCTTTAACATTAACACTGCTGGATAGCACCAACAGCCCCCTGTCTAACCTTCTTCTTTCCATGCTTGTCTCAAACTGAGATAAATATGTGCTGCAAATGGAAATCTGACAGTCTAAATGGTCCTAAAATCTAAATCTGACCATGCCAGTCTTGGGAGCGAATCTCTCCAATGGTTTCTCCTCTTACTTGGAGGAAAAGTGGAATCCTTATGATAGCCTATAAGGCCATGAGTGATTTCCTTCACCCACCCCAACTCACCTGTACCCTCTTCCTCCCTCACTTTGCCCCTCAATGGCCAGACTTAACCTGTTCACTCAAGACCTGTGCATTTACTGTTCTTCTGCCTAGATTGTGGTTCATACCTTCTGTCTGCTCTAATGTCACTCAAATATTGAGGCCATCCTTGACCACTTACAAAGTAGAAACCCACCTTGTCACTATTTTCTTTGCCTTATTTTACTTTATTTTCTTAAGTTTATCATCACCTGCCATATGTTTCTTTGTGTCAGGAACATGGTAAGTACTTATAAATATTTGTTGAATGTAGCAAATGAATGAATAATGAATGAATGAGGCCTGGAAAGCATAGAACCCTGGGAAAGAAGTGTCTGGCCAGTGGGCATCTCCTTCTGGGATGGAGGGACACCTCTAGTCCATGGACTTGCTGCATTGGCCACATCTCTAAGGGATGCACAGAGAGAATAGAGCACCACGCAGGCTTCTGAAATTTTGCGGTTGATGATGGGCCTCACAAGATGGGTGGGTTAAGTCAGTGGTCTGTGGGCAGCTGCTGCTTCTCACCTGGCTCAGGTAGGCCTGAGGGAGCAGGGGCAGGGTGTGTCAGCCTACAGGCCTTTGGACTTGAGTCCGAAAAGGCCTCAGAGCTCCTTCACAAGAAAGACCAAAAGCCACGCAGGCTGCCATCACAAACTGCCCAGTTTGCTGTCCTGGGTTGTAGCGGATTTGTCTGGACTGATTTCCTCAGGGGAAACAGTAATATGTGTCAGCAATTACGCTTTCAAGTTGAGCACCATCTTTATCCTGGGGCAAGCAGGCTCTGGCTCCGGGGGTTGTTCTGAAGGGAGACGCTGATGACAGAGCTCAGGGCTGCAGGAGCCTCCTCCAGTCTGGGTACAGCGTGGGGTGGGAGTGAGCAAGAGCTTCCCCTCTCAAGCCATCTGGAGGGACCCAATCTTCAGACACAAGCGCACCCCTGGGCCGGAGCTGGGGAAAGCAAGCCAAGCCACTCAGGGCTGGTTTTACGCTTTTAGTTCTGAGATAGCGATCGTGGGGGAAAATTCCTTGCGTTTGTGGAATCATAAATTTTTTAAGGTCTCTTGGCTCCACTTTTAAATTTAATGCCTGAATAAAATGTTGGCTCGAGCTCCATATTCGATTATTAAAAATCATACTCAGGCCTGGGAGACGAGTATTTACACATCTGTCTGCTCATCTGAAGACACGCTCGTCAAGATGTGGCCCTCATCACCGCACCGCTGCGTGGGAAGAGGGGCTCGGGGACCCCGAGTGCACGTTTGGTAAGCGAGGGAGTTGGACAAGGCTTTAAAGTTCCTTCTTTTTACCAAAACATTTGTAAATATTCTGTGCTATGCTGTGATTTCTGTGCTGGAAAAGCTGGATCAAATTCATTTTTGCCTTCAATTTTTAATACATAGATGCACACATGAGTGTGTGTGTGTAAGTGGGTGTGTATGTGAGCAAATGTGTATATATGTGTAAATAATAAGAAGAAGGTCTAGAAGAATACAGGTTAAATCCACAATAGTAGTGATTATCTCTGGAGAGAGACCCAGTATAGGAAAGAGTAGGGCCAAAAGTGACTTTAGCCTTATCCATAATTTTTTCTAGGAATGTATAGTCATATATTTGCTGTTTAATTAAAGTTATTCTTAAACTAGCGTGTGACCACTAATCCAAAAGCCATGGAAAAATTTAAAAATGATAATAAAAATGAATCCTATCTGTCCTAGTCTAGAGATGATCCCATCGGCATTTTATGTTAGAAGATGTTTCCTAATGACCAAGTCCGTTTACCAAGGTGTTCTTATTGTGAGCATTACCAAGACGTTGCTTTTAAAGATGGGGCAATGGTTTTGGTTTTATGGCCAAAAGGAGTGACACACTCTTTCCCCCCAATAAAAATCTTCCATAAGATACTCTGGGGAGCAAAATGTTAAAAGTATCCATTTTATTCACTTTGAGAACATCTGCAGAGTTTATTTTTGGTGGGTTATGGATCATAAGGGTCTCAGGCATGATAAATATTTACCCAAGTGAAGAGAGATGAGGAAAATCACTAACAGAAAATGGAGAGGTGGAAGATGTTGAGATAAGAAGAATGTCTTGTTTCTATTGTAAAAGAAATTTTAAAATCTCAGCTTCCTCCCAACGGCTGTATTGGAGCTACACAAGTGCCATAAACACCTATGGTTCAGGTATCACCAACAGGGCACAACAGATAGTTTCCTTTAAAATAAAAATGTAGTCTACAAACAGCTAATCTGGGTTTTGGAATATGTTTTCCATGAACTGGACTTCAACAATAGTGCACGGTCACTCACACATGTGCACACACGTACACACAAAGAAGCATTTTGAAAATGGAAAAAGAAATTCTTCTCTGGAAAAATTATTTTTAATGTTAAACGATTCTCAGGATAATGCCCTACATAAAAACTTATGGTACAATGGTGATTTTTAAAATATTGTTTAAAATAACAAAAGTCTAAATGAAACACAGCAAAGACATTTTTATGAGATCACAGAAGAATGAATGACTCAGCTTCTACTTTAGAAATGAACAAGGGGTTCCTGGGTTAAGAGGAGGAGGAGGAGACAGGCTGCAGAAGAATCGTGGGTTCCATATTTAGCAGGTGCCAGAAAAACACCTTCAAGCGGAATGCCCAGCGGGGTCTTCTGACAACCACACGGCCCCTCCTTGAAGTCACTTCCAGGAATCAGCTGCTCCCTGCCCTGCCAGCCTGCAGCACTGGGTCTCTGGCAGCCGCATTCCCCTTAGAGGAAGTGGTTGGTACCAGAAAAAGTTGGTAAGGTCTCAGTTGGTGATGCAAGGCCCACACTGTAGAGGTAATCTCACGGTTTCTTTGCTTTAAGCATCAACTCTGTCAGCTTGAATCATCTCCATAGCAGTTTGCCCATCATAAAAATAATTTCTACCCCAGAAAAGCTGGGTCACGACTGAGAAAGACTTGATTCAAACACTAAAATCTTCGTTCTGAAAATAGATTCCTTGCAGCTCAGGGTTAGCAGAGAGAGAAAGGTCATCTGGTCCCAACTCACCAGATGCTTCCTTCTCCTCAAGTGGTGTTCTGGTAGACATGTTTCTCCTTAATACTCCCAGGGAGCAAGGCTCATTATCACTTTACATCTGAGAATCAGCAATTTTTCCTCACATGGAGTTAAAATTCAGCTCTAAAAATTCTTCATCCAATGAGCTATACCGTGGAGTCCCCATGACAACAGCTGTCACATCTCCCTGCAGTCATCCTCTGTGTGTCTTCAACTAGTCCTTGCATGTACATTTCCAGGTCCCTTTCTTATGAGATCACAGGGCTACCAGCGTCCTCTGTTAGCTGTGAAACCAGGAACCTCATCTGCATTTGGGTGAGTGGGTGACCTACAACTCAGATGTTGAAGGAAGAGATCTGATTTTTTAAAAAATTGTGTGAAACAGGCCCCCTTTCATCATAAGTGACAGAAACACAACCCAAGCACTCTTTTACCAAAATGGAGCCCCTGTCAATGTAAATCCCAGCAGTGGGCTTCAGGCAGGGCTTGATCTATGAGCCCAGTAATGTCCTCAAGTCTCATGATCTCCATCTCCCCATTCTACTCTTCGTTGACTCCCAGGGTAGCAAGATGCCACTGACATCTCCAGTTCCCCACTTTCATACTGGCCTAGGGAAAATAAGAATCTTATTACTCATGGTTTTAGAGGAAGTTCTGGAAAAGTCTTGACTCTCTTTGGCTTGAATTGGAGCACATGACCATCCCTGCCTGGACAAGTGAGACCACAAATACAGTGGAGTGCTGTCAGGCAAGGTGTGAGTCTAATCCCTACCCAGGCAGCAGCTTTGGAGCCAGCTTCTCCTAAATCACAGTGAGTGAGGAATGGGCATTTGCCGCAGAAAATGGGAGTTTTGTTACTAGAAGGAGCGAGAGTGGAAGATCAGTCCCGGAGCAGACAAAACAAGTTCAAGCCATTACCGTGGCTTCTGGAGGGTTTTGTTGATGGGGCCATTAAAAGATTCTTGAGAGTTTAAGGAATAGCTTGGTGGGCCATCCACCCAGCTCAGAAATGTCCTTTGTACGTTCAGAGGCAGTCAGCTTTCCCTTGGGTTTTTGATAAAAGCTCTTCCTCACAACTTCCCTAGCTTTAGCACCACCATTCACAGCTTTCAGCTTGTTGCCACATTGTTCAGAAGTAAAGTTGATTTTTACAGTTAAATTAGGTTGCTTTAAATAAATAAATAAATAAATAAAACAAAAACTAGTTGCTCTCCTTCTCCCTTCCTTCCCCTGCTTTGTTCAAAGACAGTGTTCCTGCTCTGGGGCCAGGCAGAACCTTGGGTGCTCAATGCAGATCATGGGGTCAGGGAAGGAGGAAACAGGCCCTCTAGCACATGGTGATTAGAAGAGACACTCACGATCTCAACAGTGCTTTAATGAACACAGCAAAGAGGGGATCTGGTTGGAAAACTGCAGCCCGACTGCAGTGGCTTCTGCCCCACGTGGAAATCTGTTTTAGAACCAGGAATGAACAAGACTGAGGTTGTTTAATCATCAAAGACGGACCATGAGTGTCTGATGCACACTGTCTGCACTGTATTATCCAAACATACTGATTGAGATATCAAAAACAAAATAGGAGAAATAGTTCAGCAAATGCTGTGATGAAACATTAGCATCTCAGTTAAACAACATCCTCTTACAAATTTGTTCAGCTAAAACACATTAGTTGGATAAAACAAATGTCCCACTAGAAACACAGAAGACTCAGCCAGGCAGTTTGTCAATGAATAATGATGCAGATTCAGACTTCTTTGCAATTAAGGAAAGGTAATTTAAAACGAGATGCAATGTTTTGAGCATGCTAGACAAGCGCACTATGCCACCCCCAGGCCCTAAGGTAAAGGCATTTTAAGTGTTTATACCCCAGGTTGGAGAAGATGTGGGCACATGGCACATATTCCACATGCTACTGTACACTGCTCAGGAGGATATGAAGTGGTCCATTTTTTGTAGGACACTTAGGCAATTTCTATCAAAAGCTTCAAAAACAGGTATGGCCTTTGACCCAGAAAGTCCACATTTAAGAATTATCCTGAAGAAATGATCAGAAATGTTCATGTATAGGAATAACAACTGAAGATTTTTTCAATCAGCAAAAAACAGGCAAATTGATATTTCTGGTAAGAGGGCATCGGTTAAAAGAGCCATAACAAGTTATATTTTGAGGAATGTGACAGCATAAGAAATGTTTAAAATGTACCTGAAAGTGATAGGCAAATTATGAAACAGTATACACATATATATATATATAAAAGTGCATAAATACACACACATATATTATATTATATTGGCTTAGAGGGAGAAAATTGGGAACAATACTCCACAGAGCTATTGACTATGGTTATCTTCAGGCTTGGGATAATGGATGATTTTTTGTGGGTATTTTTCTATGTGTTCCATCATGTAAAAAAACGTCAAAATGGCTACTATTTATTGAGGATTTATCATATATAGTCTATGTATAAACTTTTTACATAGATTGATTCATCATACCACTTCCATGTGAGATACGCATTACAGTCACACCCATTTTACATGAGGAAGTTGAGGGTATTTGCCCACCCCAAGATCACACTCCTCTTCTAGAACATGTCCTGGATCTCAGGAGGTCATAGTTGTCTGCTGAAAGGCCTGGATATAGGTGGATCTGCAGAGCAGAGCCAGCAGGAGAGCTTCCTACCTGCTGCAAGTCATCTTTGCTAGTCAGTGCTCACGTGGTGAGGGCCCTGAGCTAGTCTCCTCTTCTCTTTTTTGTGTTTAAAGAGCACCTGGGAAGCTCAGTGCAGAATTCCAGTTCTATTTACCTGTGCAACCTTGGACAAGTCACTTACATGCTGGGCCTCAACTTCTAGCGGGGGTTAGCTGAGTTTAGCTCAATTCTATTCCAGAAAGAGACTCTCTGCAGAGCTCAGGAACATTGCTGATCCAGAATAAGCAAGGAGTCTTCTTTCTTCAGATCCCCAAGCAGGATACCTAAGCCCACTTCACAACCTTTGGAGCCCTCGAATGCACAAATGATGGAATCCTCCCCACCCAGTCATTAATTCACTTCTGCCACTATGTTCTGGTTTCTACTTTATCTGTGTGTTCTCATTCAGGCCTCCACAAGGACTTTGTTGGGTGGCTATTAAGTGACTTTCTGGATTCCGCAGAAAAATACATTTTTATATAATCACAGAAGAAGAAACATCAAGGATAATTAAGA